GGGTGCCTGGGTGGCTCAGTACGTTAAAGCCTCTGTCTTCGGCTCAGGTCATGGTCCCGGGGTCCTGGGATCGAGCCCCGCGTCAGGCTCTCTGCGCAGCAGGGAGCCTGCTTCCCCCTCTCTCTCTGCCTGCCTCTCTGCCTACTTGTGATCTCTGTCAAATAACTAAATAAAATCTTAAAAAAAAAAAAGACTTAAAGATTTAGATGAGGTATCTAAAGTAGTCGAATTTGTAGCAACAGAAAGTAGAAATGTGGCTGCCAAGTGGGGGGGGGCGGCAGACAATGGGGGAGGTTTAATGTGTGTAGAGTTTCAGTTTTGCAAGACGAAAGACTTCTGAACTGGTTGCACAACAGTGTGAATATACTTAATACTACTGAGCTGAATGTTTAGAAATGGTTGAGATGGTAAATTTTTTTTTTCTAAGATGGTAAATTTTGTTATTTCTTTTACTATCATTAAAAAGAAAAACATAGCTAATTACAATCTGTAGAAACTAATCTTTTTTTCTTTTAAGATTTGATTTATTTGAGAGAGAGAACAAGCAGGGAGGAGAGGCAGCGGGAGAGAGAGAAGATGACTCCCCACTGAGCAGGGAGTCTCAGGGTTTGATCCCAGGACCCAGAGACCATGACCTGAGCAGAAGGCAGACGCTTAACCATTGAGCCACCCAGGTGTCCCCAAACTTCTTTTTAGTCTATGAGCTCATCCTTCTTTCTCTGTATGTTATAAACCTGCTAACAAATAGGAAAACCAATGTCTGGTTTGGGTTTCCTCTTTTTCATATACAAAGCCCTTCTTCCTGTAGAGGTGCCATAGCTCAGATCATCCTTCCCCACACCTGACTGCGCCCAAGCCAACACACCCTGACTGGGAAGGTTGATGGATAAGGCAGACCAAAATAACATACATGAGATACAGTGTCTGCACGGTAGTAAATTAATCAGAGGAATTCAAAACTCCACTCAATTGCTGAATCAACTCATCCTCATATTTGGGAGATTTAAGAAGGAAGGTAATATTGTTCTCTCATGTAAATATGAAACTAGAATACAGAGTTCCTGAGATGCATACTTCCATCCTATACTACAATCGCTGTCTTACAAAGGTCTTACAGTACTTGACTGGTATGCAGCCTCATTTAGAATCCAGAACTCCTGAAAGTTCAAATATTCGTTTTAGTTATAACTATTTGTTTAATTGAAACAAACTATATGCTTTGAAATTTTTTCTATTAAAAAAATGTATAGGGAACATAAGGACACCAGGTCCAATATTCATAAACAGAGGATAGTTTGAATGAGCTTACTGGCAGGAAATGGCTTAAGTCATTTCCAAAGTTGTATTCTGTTGTGCAGATCTGTGGTCAGCCTGCCCTAGGTTAACTAGTTGAACACAGATGGAGAGAGAAGGGAGTAGGAAGACTTTTCACACACCCATTTCAAGAAAGACAAAACTGAATGTAATGAGTGGATTTATAGAACAGACAAATTAAGTTCGGGAGTGATGATTCACTTTTTCAAAGATTTTCAATGGCTTTCCTTTATAATGAGAGCTGCTGGGATGCCTGGGAGGCTCAGTCAGTTAAGCGACAGCCTTCAGCTCAGATCATGATCCTGGAGTCCCAGGATGGAGTCCCACATCGGGCTCCTTGCTCAGTGGGGAGTCTGCTTCTCCCTCTGACCCTCCTTCCTCTCATGCTCTCTCTCTCCCTCTGATTCTGTGTCTCAAATAAATAAATCTAAAAAAAAAGAGTTGCCATAATGTATTTAAAACATAGTTCCATTTATAGACGTCTGATTTCAATTTTGCCTATTAAGAAAGTATCAAACTTGGGGGCACCTGGGTGGCTCAGTCAGTTGAGCGTTGGACTCTCAGTTTTGGCCCAGGTCATGATCTCAGTGTGGTGCGATCAACCCCTGTTATTGGCTCCATGTTCAGTGGGGAGTCTGCTTGAAGATTCTTTCCCTCTGCCCCACTCCCCCCAGCTTGCATGCAAGCACAGTCTCTCAAATAAACAAATAAATCTTAAAAAAAAAAAAAAAGGCATCAAACTTGAATAAAATGAAGTTTTTATTATGAAGAGAGGAGGAAGCAGGCTCCCCGCTGAACAGAGAGCCCAACGCGGGGCTCGATCCCAGGACCTTGAGACCATGACCTGAGCCGAAGGCAGCGGCTTAACCCACTGAGCCACCCAGGTGCCCCATGTAATTGGTTTTATAGAGAGCAATACCTTAAGTAAAAAAGTGAACTTACAATCTACTAGTGTCAATGAAACAAACATTTCATAAATTTGCAAGTGTATCAGAAACATTTAGGCATAAAGCGTTTATGGAATGCTAGACATGGGAGGGGGGAACTAAAGAAGTAACTTCAAAGGGTTTCTCAGGTGCAACAAGGTAGATGAAGTGACCAGTTGTTTAAGAGCCTGTGAATGGGTAAAGTGTGCCAATCCTTTTTTAAAAATTGTTATTTAAACTCAGTTAACATATAGTGCACTATTCTTTTCAAGGTCAGAATTTAGTGATTTAGCAGTTGCATGTAACACCCAGTGCTCATTACACCCCATGCCCTCCTTAATGCCCGTCACCAGAAAGTGTGCCCATTCTGGCCAGCACACCCCTACCCCCAGTTAATCTCCTTGTGTTCGTTGCCCCCTTGTCCATAGCCCTTACGCATAGCTTTTCCTGTGGTTTCTGCATCTACATTGCAATCCTCAGATTCCAAACCAGAGCTGCAAAAGAAGGGACACACTGGAGACTGAGATTAAGACTCAGGGCTAAGAAGACAAAGCGTCAAAATTTAGTCACCTGTGCATCCTCACCTTTGTTATAGATTATGAGAATACAAAAATATGGAAATATTAACTATTAACCTTAAAAATAAAAGTTGTTACTTTTCCCATGGAAGTGGATTCGGGAATAGCAGAGAATTGCAGTTTGGGACACGCAAGCTATGGCAAGACCACAGGCAAGTCCAACACACAAAGGAGAGAAACGTGGTTTTGCGGACAAGGAGGAAGTTGGGAGGGTTGTTCTGAAGCAAAATCCACTGGAGAAACACAGGAGTTCAGGGTGGCAGTGGTTTGTCCCCGGCCGCACTGCCAGGGAGCTCACTTCTGTAGGAGATGCAATGTCCACCTTTCCCTGTGGGGGCCTGGAATTTGGGATCCTTCCCTGGGGAGGGTTCTTCTGTTGGGTCTGTGATTGACTTTGAGTGGCGCGACTCCCCCTCCCCTTCTGCACCCAGAATCCACTCTGGTGGGGTTTCCCTTTATTGATTTTAACAAGCACGACCTTTAAAAAGTTTTTATTTTGAAATAATTGCAAGATAGTACAAGGAACTCTTGTCTACTCTTCATCCAGATTCACAATTTGTTAACATTTATATTTGCTTTATTAATCTCATTCTCCAATGAACCATTTGAGATCAAATTGAATCTGCCCCTTGACCTCTAAATACTTCAATGTGTATTTCCTAAGAATAAGGACATTCTCTTCCAAGAGCACAATAAAATTAACCAAATCAAAAAAATGTAATGATTACAATACTATCTAATATATAACCCATATTCAAATTTTGCCTATTGTCACAATGTTCTTTTTAGCTATTTTTCCTAATCCAGGATCCAATTCAAGATCACCTATGAAAGTAGCTGTCTTACCTCCTTAGTCTCTTTTAATCTGACACAAATCCTTAGTCTTTGTCTTTAACGACAGTAATGTTTTTGAAGAGCATGGAACAATTAATCAGATTTGCCTGCCTCAAATAAAGGTTATGCTTGCTTTTTTCTTTTTATCAGGAGTACTATCTCGTGTCACGTTCTTTTCAGGATATCCTATCAGAAGGTGCATGATGTTCATTCCTCTCAAAACGCCTGATATTAGGGTTAATGACTTGATCACGGCAGTTGTCCACCAAACTTCTCTACTGCAAACTTATTTATCTTTGTAATTAACATGTAATTTATGGGGAGTTATTTTGAGACTACCTAAATTTTACGTTCCACGTCATACCTTTACTTTCTCCTTACAGCATTTTTTTATGACTCTTGCCTAAATCAACGTTTACATTGAGATACAATTCCCATGGTGTACAACCACTTTAACATACTTGTTTTAGTATACTCACAAGGTTGTGCACCCACGCTATCTAACCCGGAAGCATCTTCACCCCGGCAGGATGCCTCTCCCTCCACTCTGCAGGTGCCTCCGCCCTAACCACTCCTCCCGCCCTCCGCTTCACCTCCCCAGGAGGACCCCAGCCCCAGAACAGGACATCACTCCCTCTTTCCACCCCCCAGCAGGACTCCTCTCCCTCCCCTCCATCCCCAGCAGGACACCTCTCCTTGCCCCACCTCCCTCCCCCAGCAGGACTCCGGCCGCCCAGCAGGGCTCCCCTCCCTACTCTCCATCCCCCGGCAGGACCCGGGGGCCGCAGCAGGACGCCCCTCCCCCCCTCCAGCCCCAGAGCCCGAAAACCGCACCTCCGCCCTCCGCGCACTTGGCGGCTGCAGACGTTTCCAGACCAATGTTGTCCTCTGGATCTGGCTTCTTTCTTTTAGCATGAAGTTTTCAAGGTCCCGGTACACGGTGGCTTTAGTCAGTACTTCACTCGTCATTCGCCTAAAGGTACCATTACCTCATTCTCCACAAACGACGACGCGTCCACACCCGCGAGGCAACACTACTCTCCCCGCCCCGTGTCAGGAGGCGCGCCAAGAAAACCGCGTCAGCGGACTGCACTCTAACCGACAGGGCTCCCTCGCCCTCCGGTCCCTGCCGGCCTCGGGTCAGAGGGCCTCCAAAGGTCGCCTTCCCGGGAAAGACACCCACTGGCCGCACGGCCACGGGGACCAACCACAACTCAAGCGGATGCCGCCGCGGGCCACCGCGCAGGCTCCACCCCTCCGGGACCCCGCCCTGCGGCCCGAGGCGGAAGTGACGTACCGGAAGCGCCCTAGTCCCCTTGCAGCGGGGGGAAGGCATCAAACCCCCAAGATGGCGGCGGCGTCGGAGGAGCGGATGGCTGAGGAAGGAGGCGGTGGCCACGGCGACGGCGGCCCCTCTTCGGCCATCGGCTCTACCCAGCGACTGCCCCCCCCCGCCCCCGCCCCCGGCCCCGCAGCCGGGCTCCCAGGCGCCCCCAGCCCAGGCGCTGGCTCCCGACCAGCTGCCTCAAAACAACACGCTGGTGGCGCTGCCCATCGTAGCCATCGAGAACATCCTCAGCTTTATGTCCTACGACGAAATTAGTCAGCTCCGCCTGGTGAGGCCCCCGCGGGACCCCCGCCGCCCCCTCCGCCGGCCGAGGTCTGGGGAGGGGCGGAGAGGGGAGCGCGTCCCCCGGGGAGGGAGCCGCAGCCGGCTCCAGGACGCGGAGTCCCGGCGCCGGGCGGCGGGGTCATCCCCCCTCCCCTTCCTGCCGCGGAGCGAGGGGGCTCGCTGCCCCGGCCCGGATGCGGGGCGGCGGCGGGAGTTGGGCGTCCCAGCGCCGCCGGGCCCGAGCGCCGGGTGCGCGGCTTGGGTCGCCGCCTTTTGTGCACCAGCGTCCAGCCCCCGGCCGGGCCCAGCCAGGTTTGGTCGGTCCGCAGGAATCACGCACTGTGTTGCCCACTTCCCCCCCAATCCCGACCCAGGTTTCCCGGTTGGAGAAGATGAAGTAGGGTCGGGGAGGCCTCCCCAAACCCGGTGGGGGCTCCGAGGGGCGTGAACGCCATTTGGTGGCCCCAGCTCCCCAGGTGACCAGTAAAGTAGAGCCCACCGAGAGCGCGTCCGGCTCGGCCTCGCCCCGACACTTCCCACCCTCGGGGAGCACCTCGCCCCTGGACAGGGTTGGTTTCTCTTGCAGTTCATTTTCTAACTAGTGACTTACGCCCACCCGCCAGCTTCAAATCACAGTAGTTCAGTGATTGATAGAAAGGAGGAATTTACTTCGCTCCACAGCGTGGACTGAAGGTTTGATGAATGCCTTAGTTCAGTTAAGATCTTTGGCTTCCTGTCGGGGAATTTATCTTTAAGTGGGAAGGAAATTGAAGGAGGTGGACATTTTGAAGGGACTCTGTGCCGACTCTGTGTAGGAGCTCAATCTGTGCTTGGGATTGTTTTTTAAGAGGACAAAGACATATTTCTGAATGTAGTGTGTACAGCATTTTCTCGTTCGTGTGCCACATTTTAGGTTTACACCTCCCGTTTAAAATTGATTCTAATTGCGTTTTGGAAAGGAAATCATACTTTTAAAAGAAAGTTTATTAATTTTGATTCAAACTGATGACCAGGTTTTTCTTTTCTAGTCAGCCCAGCAGTTCTACCACGCCAGTCTGCAGAATGGAAGATTCTTCAGTTGAAAAATCGTTTATCAAAATTGATTGTCCCTGCATTCCCCAAACATGTCATCCTAGAATTCCGTATAGAATCTTAAATAGTCCTTCCGATTTTTATGAAGGGTGGTGTTTGCTCAAGATTCACGCTGTATGTTCACAGTGTCTGGAAATTGGGCATAACATTTGATTGAATTGAGCCTCTCAGCCAGACAATGGCTTTGTAAAGCTTGGAATATTCACAGTTCTGTTTTGTAAGTGTTGGGGAACACTGGTTTTTTGTTCGTTTGTCAGTCGTTTACCTTTTTAAAAATTAAAAACATTTTTGCGGGGGGAAACTAGCTTCTTTGGACATCCCACTGTTTATTAATGAATGACATCTCTTTCAAGTGAAATACTCAGTTGCATTCTTAATTTTAAAGCAGTCATCTCTTCTAGCCTTTTAGGGTACAGATTTGTGGTTTCAAACAGATTTTTCATAAGGAGCCCCTTACCATCCCCTGTGCCCCCCTCCCCCCAAGATCAATCAATTTTATGTCCCAGAGAGGGTCTTTCCCCTCTGGTTTAGTAATGAGGAACTATTTTCTTATTCTTTTGTTTGCTTAAGGTTAATAGATAATTTGTAGATTAAGTGGATAATCCTTTGTGGTTATTTGGAAATGTCTTTCGTTTCAGATTGATCGGTTTGGGGTCATAAGGTACAATTCAGGTAGCATTATAAAAGAAAGATTTTTTTCTTGCCGCTAGATGTCAGCATTAATTTAATTGTGGCCTCTTAGTGACATTGGCAGGGTAAAAACAGTGCCTGGTTCCTGCTTTCCTTGTATCTAAAGGGCTCGTTGCCAGAAAAAATCAAGGAACATTAGTACGTATGCTGCTATCTGGAGTACACATTATCCAGCTCCTTTCATTTTAAGTATTTTTTCTTGGTGGGATTAGACTGGATATGCTTGGAAGAGAGTGATATTAATTAAGAATAGAATTAGTTTCCATGAAGCTAAATGTCAACAGATCAGTGGTTGATGAACTAGTGTATGTATTGTTTGGATGTTTCAGTTTTTTTTTTCTCTCCAGTTTACTTGACTTATTAGGAACTCAGTTGTAACTGTGGTTAGCACCTAAATTAGAAGACAGACACATAAGCCATGTACTCATTACTCTGTATTTTCTTTAAAAGATGTGCTCTTGGTTGAGATTGCTCAAGTAACATTTTTCAGTTCTTTGTGCAGTTTAGTTGATGATAGTCTTTGCTTCGTGTTGCCATGAATAATTGACATTTGACTCTCCAGTTCTTTCCAAGGGATTATCCAAATGCCTTATTGAATTGTTGGTTTGTTTGTTCATTTTTCCTGCCATTGATGCTCCAAAAATGTATCCAGAGCCTAGAAATCTTGATTACACAGAAATAGTGCTTTAAATACTTAACTCTTCCAGTGTATTTTAGATTATTTGATGGAACACAGCTTTTGAAGTGATAAAACTTGTACTTTGAGTTGTTTTTTCAGTAAATCAGACAAATTTGTGCTGATACAGCGTTAGACTGTCACCTAGGCCCTCTTGATGGGGTGAGAGTTTTTGAAACAAGTGGCAAAGGTTAAGATGTGAGGTCCTACCCCCAGTTCAGGAGTGTATCTAAACCAAGTTTGAGCGTTTGACTTTGATTTGTGAGCATAGCGTTCTCACAGAAAAATGAATATGGAAGGCTTTTTAAAAGCTGTTTTAGAGGGATCCTATGAAATTTTTTCCTGTATGGTTTGAGCTCCTATAAATTTAATGGAATCCTGTTAGTGGTTCAGGACATGAATATGACTGAAGGTTAAATTCAGAAGTCTTGCTCATTATGTGGAATGAAGTTTTCTGGTAGGTAACAAAATACATATATACTTTCATCCTGAGATACTTCTCAGAGCACTGTAGCTAGTTAAATCTGTTACCCATTTATAGTTCCTTTTATATCTTTTGTTCAAACATGTTAGAAAATTTTAGAGAAGGTTGATTGGTAGGAAAATGAGAAACCATTACTCTTTTTTTAAATAGGCACGCTGTCTTCCTTACATCTCTTGCTGTGTGCCAGTAGTTTTCAATTTTTTTAAATTTTATTTTAAACCTCAGGACATCTTTATACTCTTAAGTTACTGAAGACCCTAAGAGCTTACCTTAGAAAATTCTAGAAGACATAGGAAGAGACAGTATATTCTTCATTAGTTGCCAGAAAAATGTTGTCATGTGTTGTGTTGCCACTGGAAAAGTCCATTGTATATTATGGAGGAATGAGAGTAGAAATGGCAAATAACGTCTTCGTATTATGAAACTAGTTTGGCCCCACAGACTCTCAAAAGGATCTTGGGATAAAAAATTAAAAATTAAAAAAAAAAAAAAGGATCTTGGGAATCCCAGGGGGTCCCTAGACCACACTTTGAGAACCACAGCTCTTTGCTGCATTGTTATGGAGAATATAGTCTCTGCATTGATGATTTGTGGTTTTTCCCCCACCATCTCCTCACTGGGTTATTTTTACTAACAGGTACTTGAGTACAGGTTGGAGACTATAATATTTAGGAGACAGTTCATTTTTTCCTGCAGATTCTATCCAAAAATGAAGGGGTTCAACCAGTAACCCTGCCCAGAATGTCATGAGGACAGAATGGAGACACCTTCCTTGAGCACACTTAGAAAGCACCAGGATAACAGATGCAAAGATAAGAAATAAAGGACAGTTGAGGTTGAGGTTAATCAGAAGCATTTAATCAGAGAGACTTCCTCAAGATAATGAGTTTTTATCCAGTTTATCTTTAGTAAAGGTGAGAGAACATTCCCAGCAGAAAAAAAATGAAGTATATGTAGTGAAGTGATGGGAGCAGGGTGACTGTGATTAGAGCCCTGAGGTGATTGTCTGAAGCGTAAGATGTCCTAGATTGGTGCTCAACTCCCCCCTTTCCACTTTTTTTTTTTTTTTTTTTTTAAGTGCTCAGACTGGCCAGGTTTAAGAAACTTTTGAGGACCTACAGCTTTGATACCTTTTGCTGTGGGAAGTAAGTAAGGATGTTAGAAAACAACTTCCACCTCTTAACACCATCATCACCTCCTAACAAGCCAGATGCATTTGCATACCCTGGTCAGCAGAGCAGTGGGATGGCCTGTGCTCGTGATGTTTGAGACTAGGAGCTAAAGATAGCCCCTAACCCAGGTTTCTCCCAACCACCTAGCATCTTGGACTTAAGCTTGCTGGAAACAGGCATCATCAAGCTGTTGTGTTTCCAGACATGCTAGGCCTCTCACAGCTGGGGCTCCCCCTGCCTGCAGCCTCTCCTTGGTCTCCCTTCCTAGAACCTATCTGTACCTGCAGAATACACCTGAAGTGTCAGGGCCTCAGTAAAGCCTCTGTGACTCTTCCGTGAACCTCACCGGGTAGTACTTCTGAGTTCCCAGGCAAGTGGTTATACTTATGGAATTGTCTTTGGAGGGGCCGGGTCCGCAGTGAATTTAGGCTCCTTGTTCCCTTTTATCAGGAATCCCAATGACCTTCCAAAGTCTGTAATACAATGTGAGTACTCAGCATTCGTTGAGTAAATGAAGTAGTTCTTAAAAACACTGCATTGCTCCAAGTAAAGGATAGAAAATAAATGTCATTGTGAAATAAATGTGTTTTCTGTATATGGAAAATGCGCTGCTTCATATTTACCTCAGACAGAGGAGAATAGAATTTTTTTAAATTTAAGGCCATTTTAAGAAGCTGGGGTCACTAGAAAAATTCTCATAATGAGAATGAAAATTGATATGGTGATGGGAAAGTCCTGTGGAATTAGTAAGTAGCCATTTGCATTAACGCGTCAGGCTGCATTGTTGTGTTTTTTGTTTTGTTTTTAAAGATTTTATTTATTTATTTGACAGAGAGAGATCACAAGAAGACCGAGAAGCACGCAGAGAGAGAGAGGGAAGCAGGCACCCT